AGCAGGGGAAGGCTGGGCACGGTGGCTCATGTCTGTAATCCCAGCACTTTGGGAGGCCAAGGCGGGCAAATCACCTGAGGTCAGGAGTTCAAGACCAGCCTGACCGACATGGTGAAACCCCGTTTCTACTAAAAATACAAAAATCAGTTGGGCGTGGTGGTGGGCGCCTGTAATCCCAGCTATTTGGGAGGCTGAGGCAGGAGAATTGCTTGAACCCAGGAGGTGGAGGTTGCAGTGAGCCGAGATTGTGCCATTGCACTTCAGCCTGGGCAACAAGAGTGAAACTCCGTCTCAAAAAAAAAAAAAAAAAGCGGGGAAAAAGGGAACTCTGCTTTTTCCAATTCTTATTTATTTATTTAGACAGGGTCTTGCTCTGCTGCCCAGACTGGAGTGCAGTGGCGTGATCCTAGCAGCCTCAAATTCATGGCCTTAAGCAGTCTTCTCACCTCAGCCTCCCAATTGGCTAGGACTACAGATCCATGCCACCACGCCTGGCCAATTTTTAATATTTTTTGTAGAGACAGAGTCTTGTTTGTTGTGTTACCCAGGCTGGTCTTGAACTCCTGGCCTCAAGCAGTCATATCACCTCAGCCTCCCAAAGTGTTGGGATTCTAGGTGTGAGCCACCATGCTCGGCCTCTTTCCATTCTCAGGTAAATCTCAAGTTACTTAAAAGCAAAGAGTTTCTTCAAAAGTCATAATACATCACCTGTAGCCCTGTAGGCATTACAAAATAAATAAATAATATACTTTTAAAATAAAATGTTTAAAGGAAAAGAGACCCCAAAGGTGGGGCTTCACTTTAAAGAAAATTTAGTGTGTGTTATGCTGAACATTAAGGTATTGGACAACATTTTTGTTTGATTCTTAGCAAGCTTAGTAGGAGTTAAGGCTTGCTAGATTTTTAAGGATGACAAATAGCGAAGTCATACTATTTCTTCATTTGAAATGATGAACTACCTTGGATAGTAAAGTTAAGTGTGTTTGTAGCAGCATGTGTTAGATGATCTCTGAGTATTTCAAATAGAATGAAAAGTTTTCATTGAAGCTCTAGGGTTTCGGTTTAAATTATTTGTTTTCTTTCCCCAGATATAAAGACCTGATGCCACATGATTTGGCTAGAGCAGCACTTACGTAAGTAAATGCAGTTTCATTTCCATTCTTATTTCGTTAAGGGCACTTTCTCCAGTTTTTACACACAAAATAGCAATTTGTTCTTATTTTCACCATCTGTACTACACAAATTTAAGCAGCTTATGAATATCATCAATCTTTATTTTGCAGGCTTAACAGTATCTTAGCATGACAGTATATTTTAATGCTATCCTAGCTAGCCACAGGACTCGATTGATCAGCCTAAACACAATACATATATTTGGTGATTGCCTTAGGAACTTGTATAAGGGTAGCTGAACAGATTATGTAGATATTTACCTAGAAAGAATCCTAAAAGACACCTGAAGATTCATGTGCAAACCAAGTAAAAATCTAAAATTAGATGCAGTTAAATAAGATTGGGCTGGATGAATAATTTGGTGAGAGTCATGAAATGTGTTGCTGTTTCTGGGATAAAGTAACATGTAAGGCATTATCTCATTCATTTTCCATTGACACTTTGCCTTTGTGTCTTCAACCAACCACAGCTCTTTCTTAGTTTGGAGAAACCCTTCAGTTGACCTTTCTGTCCATTCTAACTCTGTTTTTTTTTCTTCTCTTCCTGCAAGACCTCAAGCATGAGTGAAACGGCGGTTGTTTCTGTTTCCTTACTATCAGTTTCCTCTAATTGTATAATCATTATTTCCATTCTCCCTTTGTTTTACAGAAACCATACTTTAGAACCTTCTCTTAATAATGGTTTTGTGATTGCTAAATGTACTGATCTTTTCTCAGTCCACTGTCTCTGTACTTTATAGCACTTGACACTGTAAGCTATACTCACCTGTCTTCTATTGACTTCTTAGTAATATGCCTTTATGATTTTTCTTCTGTATTCTGACTGACTCTTCTCTACCTTAAAAAAAAACTGGGCCATGCACGGCATTTCATGCCTGTAGTCCCAGCACTTTGGGAGGCCGAGGTGGGTGGATCACCTGAGGTCAGGAGTTTGAGACCAGCCTGACCAACATGAAGAAACCGTCTCTACTAAAAATACAAAATTAGCCAGGCATAGTGGTGCATGCCTGTAATCCCAGCTACTTGGAAGGCTGAGGCAGGAGAATCCCTTGAACCTGAGAGACAGAGGTTGCAGTGAGCCGAAATCACGCCATTGCACTGGGCAACAAGAATGAAACTCCATCTCAAAACACACACACACACACACACACACACCCATGAAACTCCATCTCAAAACACACACACACCCCCCCCCCCAAAAAAAACCAAAAAACTGGATCTCTCCCTCTTTCTCTTTTTGAAAGGCATTTTGCAAGTTTTATTCCTTAGAGCTTTGCATTTCTCTGTATGCATATTTTCCTTTTAAAAATCTCATCTACCAGCTGGACATGGTTTCTCACACCTATATTCCCAGCACTTGAGAAACCAAGGCAGGAAGGTCAAGGTAGGAGGATCTTTTGAGCCCAGGAGTTTGAGACCAGCCTAAGCAACATAGCAAGACTCCATCTCTATGAAAAAATTTTTAAAAATTAACCAAGCAAGAATTACTTTGGCTCAGGAGTTGAAAGTTGCAATGAGCTATGATCCCACTACTATACTCCAGGCAGGGCAATACAGCAAGACTTTGTCTCAAAAAAAAAAAAAATTTTTTTTAAATTTTTGATTTATTTTTTTCTGGATGGAGTCTCACTCTGTCCAAGGCTGGAGTACAGTGGCTTGATCATAGCTCACTGCAACCTCGAAGCCTCCCAAGTAGCTGGAACTATAGGCGTGAGCCAATATATCTAACCCTCTTTTAGTTTTTTTAATTGATAAGGACTTACAGATTTTTATTTATTTATTTCATTATAGCCAAGTTTAGTCATTACTCGTTTTGAAGCTCAGCTTATTTCACATTTTATCTGGCACTCCTTCAAGTTGACTCCAGTGTGCCTTTTGTTTTTTAGTATAATACTGGTTGTTGATATATAATTTGCATGTAATAAAGTGCACAGATTTTAAGTGTATAGTTTGATGAGTTTTGACAAATGTGTATACCCCATGTTCCTGTTTTTGATATGGTCCCATTTGTCCTTTTTTTTTTCTTTGACACGGAGTTTCACTCTTGTTGCCCAAGTTGGAGTGCAATGGCACGATCTCTGCTCACTGCAGCCTCTACCTCCCAGGTTCAAGCAATTCTCCTGCCTCAGCCTCCTGAGTAGCTGGGATTACAGGCACACGCCACCAGGCCCAGCTAATTTTTTTTTGTATTTTTAGTAGAGACGGGGTTTTGCCATGTTAGCCAGGCTGGTCTCGAAGTCCTGACCTCAAGTGATCCACCTGCCTTGGCCTCCCAAAGTGCTAGGATTACAGGCTTGAGCCACTGTGCCCGCCTGATGTCGTCCCATTTATCTTTGAGTGCTTCCTTACTTTTGGCACAAAAAAGATGGAGATTCATTTTGTACTTTCCTTTGGACCTGGTATCAGTCATTTCCTAAAAAACCTTTTGTCCCTTTAATGGGGAATGGCATTTAGAAACCTAGTCTGGGGCTGGGTGCAGTGGCTCACGCCTGTAATCCCAGCACTTTGGGAGGCCAAGGCTGGTGGATCACTTGTAGTCAGGAGTCCAAGACAAGCCTGGCTAACATGATGAAACCCTGTTTCTATTAAAAATACAAAAATTAGCCAGGCGTCATCAAGCGCTTGTAGCCCCAGCTACTCGGGAGGCTGAGGCAGGAGAATCGCTTAAACCCAGGAGGTGGAGGTTGCAGTGAGCCGAGATTGTGCCAGTACACTCCAACCTGGGTGAAAGAGCGAGACTCTTGTCTCAAAAAAAAAAAAAAAAAAAGTCTGGGTTCAGGGAGTGCTCATTCCTACTGGAGTGTTATTGTGTCTAGTTTCTATTCATGGGCACAACTAGAATGTATATATTATTTCAATTATTTGTTGATATTGATATTTCAAACTAAAATTTAACATACCCAGAACTTTTTTTTAAATTTATTTTTTTAATAGTTTGAAGGGAGACTTTGTTTTATCTCTTTGATTGAATATTTGTCTCTCTTTTTTACTGAGAACTTTGGTTTCTACTAACATTAATTAATTTATAGGTTTCTTATCTATTTTATCCTATTCCAAATTATTTTTTATTTTTCTCTAACTTCTCATTACCAATTGAGCATCAAATGTTGACTTTAAAATCACTCTTTCATTCATTTCTTCTTTGAGAAGGTGCCAAATGCTTGTCAAATTAAAAGATACAATCTCTGTCCTTTCAAATTCAAGGCTAACCTTTTTTTTTTGTTTTTTTGGAGATGGAGTCTCACTGTGTTGCCCAGGCTGGAGTGCAGTGGCACCATCTCGGCTCACTGCAAGCTCCGCCTTCCGGGTTCACGCCATTCTCCTGCCTCAGCCTCCCGAGTAGCTGGGACTACAGGCGCACGCCACTATGCCCGGCTAATTTTTTTTGTATTTTTAGTAGAGAAGGGGTTTCACCATGTTGGCCAGGATGGTCTCAATCTCCTGACTTCGTGATCCGCCCATCTCGGCCTCCCAAAGTGCTGGGATTACAGGCGTGAGCCACCGTGCCCGGCAAGGCTAACCTTTTTTAAGGAGCACAGTGTTTTGTGTGATGATCTCTGGCACTGCCTTGATGTGTGAAATGTTTCTTTGCTTTGGATTTCTACTTCCAGGGGTTTGTTGCATCGGACCAGTGTCCCTAAGGAAGTAGTTGATTATATCATCTTTGGCACAGTTATTCAGGAAGTGAAAACAAGCAATGTGGCTAGAGAGGTGAGTAAAACAAACTTTATGTTGTTTAAAGAGTGGTAGTAGAATCACTTTGAATTTCAATTAATAGAAGTTACTTTATAAAAGCCTTTAATATCTATTTAGTTACATTTGACCTAAAATGTGATTTTACAGCTTGGGTAATGTGTTATTTAATATGTAAAAGAATTCTAATATAAATCAAATGACATACACAATATGTAAAAGAATTCTAATATAAATCAAGTGACATATACTATATTAGTGTATATTCATACTTTACTGTAAATCAAATAAATTTTTTGAGCTGGTTTAGGACATTGTCTCTTGTGTTAGGAAAATAGAGATCAGCAAAGTGCGGCTGATAGTATTTTTAGTAATGTTAGATATCATGGCTTCCAGTTAATTTAAAATTTCAACATTTTGCAGAGAACTAATTTCATAACTTGGTTTTTGTTAGCTGGAAGTAGCCTTGCTTACTCATTTGTTCCCATCGACTAGATGGCACGTAAGGCAGTTTGGCTTTTTAAAAACTATTTCACAGAAGTTTACTTTTGCCCTAGTTGGCATAGCTCCATGTAGTGTCGATTGAGCAACCAAGATAATGACAGGCCTTGGAACTTCTAGGACGTGTCCTACAGCAAGTCCAAACACGTCTTCTGGGCTGTTTCAATTTGAAAGCGATTGTTTGGATGAAGTTGGCACCAAAAGACATTTCGTTGTGCTCAGCATTTTCCCTAGTTCCGGTCTGTGCTTGCCATATTGTTGAGTTCAGTATAGTTGTGAGGGTAATAACTTCTATCACTGTCGACTGAGAGACAAAGGCAAATAAGCAGGACTGAAAGTATTTGTTCTGTTCCACCTCTGTACCTGTCAGAAATGTTAAAACTGCTGAAGACCTGGCATGACTGAAGCCGACAAAGATCAACTGTGTGCTGTTGAGGGACAGGAAGGAATTAACAACAGGAAGAGATTTTATTTCCCCTCGGAAATTTTTTGTTTTTCCTTGAACCTTGACATTTCTGAATGTTTCAAATATGACAATTTTGTGAATACATCAAGCTGCTCATAATACATTTTCAACTTTTATATTCTGAAAATAACCAAGTGACTCTTATAAGAGCACTCAAGATGTAAATAGTAAAATTTTTTGCTCTTTTCTCCTCTTGCTCAGTTTTTTATCCCCCTCTTTCTTCCTTCTCCTCCTCAAAAATAAATAAATAAATAAATATAAATACATGTTTCCATTTTCTCTGTAATTCAGTTCTTTTTTTCCCTAAAACTAAAGCCATAATGTTTTTCTCTGAATTTTTTCCTGGAAATTTTACATCCATATGCAGATCTCAGCTATTGATTGACAGGAGGTAGATTCCCTCTGCCTGCCCTGTTCTAAAAGCTGTATTGCAGCCTAAAAGCTAACATAATTTCCAGCCAAAGAATTTCTTAGGCTCTATTGCCTGTATTAACAATGTTAGTATAGTATAGTAAAAGGCTTCTGGTGTTGCTGTGAACCTGACTTTGTTGAAAGGTTCAGCATATTTCCCTGTTCTCCAACTTAGAGGCATCTTCCTCCTTTTCCCTTAGTGCCCTGAGAGCTATTCAAACTTTCAATAGAAGTGTGTGGACAAGGGTCACCAATAGCCACCTCTATTTAAAGCTCCTTCAGTCCTGAGAGTCATCTAGGGCCAAGGGCAACACATACTAGAAAGGCCCTTGTGAGAATCAAGCCATTGCAACCTAATGCCCCTTTTACACTTGCCCCGCTGCAGAGCTCTTCTCTCCTGCCCCCCTGAGATACTTACGTCTCTCTTCCTTTTGGATTGGTTTATGCTGAGAGGCTGATGCGCAGGTGCCCGGCAGACGTTCTCAACAAAGCAGGTTGGGCATTTAGTATCAGGCCTACCTGGAAAGACCAGAATGAAGTCATGTTGCAGATACATCACTGTAACACATTTCTGTTTCTATAGATGATGGTAAATAGCATAAAAGTAAATAAGTATAAAGGTAAAAATCAGTTAAGAGACATTGAATCTCTAATTGAGACTTTGGAAACATTTATTTTACTAAGTTATAGGAGAGTTTGCATTCTGAGGATAATTAGTTTTGGAAAAGAGTACTAAAAATGAATTCCCTATAATGGGATCCAGTATTTCATAGTAAATAGTGTGTGGGTGTGTATGTGGAGGGAAATCTGGAAGCTTTATTTCTAAAGTAAAACTTTAATATTATAAAAATAAGTATTTTACAGTTGCACCTATGCATTAATTATTTACATAAACAAAAATGGGATCAGACATTGATTGGTTTTTGGCAGCATAATTTCCCCCAATAAATAGTATAATAAAATTATAGATGTCCTCATTTCATGTTTGACTTTCACTGTGCCATTATAATAGAGGCCGTTTTTACAAGATTAATGATGACCTCAGTTTTTCTTAAAGCCGCTCAGATGACAAATTATTCTCTCTGTATCACCTATTATGCCATCATCCTGGCCACTTGTTAACTGGTCTGACCCTTACTTGTTCACAGGCTCACTTGTAACTCAGGCAATTCTCCAGTTTCTTTCATTGAGTTGAGCTTCTGTATAGTTGGCAAGTTTTCCAGTTCATCTTTGCATTGGGTCTGCAGTGTGCTAACCGAAGTATCAGATGGTCAGTAAGAGAGAACAGCTGGCCGTGAGCAGAAAGATAGGTGTAAAGCAAATAGGGTCTTGAGTGGGAACTCTGTTTATGAATGGTCAGTTCTTTAGAAATCATTTTTATGTTTAATCACTTTTGCTTTGCTGCTAAGCTTTGTGACTGATCATGAGACCTGATAACACAGATTGTGAAGACTCCAACCCATAATATATTTCATCATCATTTCACCAACTGTCTTTAATAGGTTCCTTTAAGTATATTTGAACATTAAACAAGTTAAAATCAAATTATATATTGATATCCTTGAAGCCCTGAGCAAAGCATCGATAAGAAATTAGGTGAGTTAGAAGAGTATTATAGCCTCGTGTCTGCACTAGAAACCAGCCAGCAGGAATTTTGCATATACCTGTCAATTAATGGCATGATTAAATATTAGTAAACCATTTCTGTGATAGCCTTAATTTTATTTTAAATATTGCTCTGGAGAATTTTAAACTGAAACCCTTTTCAGATGACCATAAAGATTAGTGTTCAAAGCATCATTTACATGATGCCCTTCCCTTAGAGTGATCATTTCATTCACTGTATTTCCTGAAGGCTGCCCTTGGAGCTGGCTTCTCTGACAAGACTCCTGCTCACACTGTCACCATGGCTTGTATCTCTGCCAACCAAGCCATGACCACAGGTATGTTTAAATGGAAGCAGACGGTACATGTTAATTTTCCTCCTTTGTCTTTTACTTGATTATAAAAATGTACTTTTTTTTTTTTTTTTTTTTTTAAACAGAATCTCACTCTGTCACTCGGGCTGCAGTGCATTGGCACCATCGTAGCTCACTGCAGGCTCAAACTCTTGAACTCAGGAGATCCTCCTGCCTTAGGATCCCAAGTAGCTGGGTCTACAGGCACTCCACCACACCCAGCTAATTTTTCAGTTTTCTGTGGAGACAGGATCTTGCCATGTTGCCCAGGCTGGTCTTACACCTCTGGCCTCAAGTGATCCTTCTACCTCAACCTCCAAAGTGCTGGGATTACAGGCATGAGCCACCAAGCTCATCCCAAAAAGTACTCTTAGGAGAAGTGATAGATTAGCACAGATCTCTACTTGTGTTTTTTAAAAAGAAAGGTCAAGTTTAAAATTTGGGAGTTCTAACCATAGTTAACCTCTCTTTTTGCTCTCCATACCTGAGGGATGTTACCATTGGCGTGGTTCCTCTGTGAATAATGTGGCTGGCTGCAGCAGGGATTATCAAATGGAGGAGTATATCTCTAGGAAGGTACTTCAGCATCTGAAGCATGAGTAAATAGTTTACAACCTGCCAGGCTTTCAACCTAGTGCTTCAGATATGATATTTTCCCACAAAGATATGGTCTTCCTTCCTTCACCACTACCATACTTGTAAATCATTGCTTTAGATGGCACAGCTCTTTCCTTCACTTTCTTCCCGCATCCTTGGCATTTTTATAAATCATTGAAAATTCCCCTAACAAATTTTAACAAAATTACGGGGTATTTTGTAGCATCAGCCCGTAGTGTGAAGAGACAGGAAATCTGAAAGATTTAGTGATCATATGCTCGTCTAGTAACATCAAGGCCCAGGTGGGCAGCCCACCTCATATGTGGCAGGGAATGATGCCTGTGACTGGGGGTGTTCACCACTCTAGGCAGCATGTGACCAACTCCTGGTTAGAGAAACAGAATAGGCTCAGCGCGGTGGCTCACGCCTGTAATCCCAACACTTTGGGAGGCCAAGGTGGGCGGATCACGAGGTCAGGAGATCGAGAACATCCTGGCTAACACAGAGAAACCCTGTCTCTACTAAAAATACAAAAAAAAAAATTAGCCAGGCATGGTGGTAGGTGCCTGTAGTCCCAGCTACTTGGGAGGCTGAGGCAGGAGAATGGCGTGAACCCGGGAGGCGGAGCTTGCAATGAGCCAAGATCGCACCACTGCACTCCAGCCTGGGAGACAGAGCGAGACTCCGTCTCAAAAAAGAAAAAAAGAATAGTGGCCATAAGGAGAGAGGGGGCCTGCCTTACATTTTAACAGCTGGAATTTCTCTGCTTTGTAGCAGAAGTTAACATTCTCTTTATAAGATAAAAAAATTTTTCTTAAAACTAAAGCTGGGAGCGCATAAATATGCAAGATGTTCTGGTTTGGAATAATGATTTGTTCAAGAGTTGGTCCAATGGATATTTCTAGAAGTTGATGTCCATATGGCAGGAATGAAAACTTGTTTTTCTCTAACGTGTTGAATGTGTTTTTAGTCATTTAAAACAATTACCTTAATTCTTCTGAAAAGTTGAAAACTTTAATTACAGATGTTGTACAAAGCTGATAACTGTTATTCAGACTTTTAATCAAGAAGCTTAAATTGGAATGGTATGTTATTTTCTGTAAAAGATATTCATGAAGTATAACCTGTGCCTTGTAGGCGTTGGCTTGATTGCTTCTGGCCAGTGTGATGTGATCGTGGCAGGTGGTGTTGAGTTGATGTCCGATATCCCTATTCGTCACTCAAGGAAAATGAGAAAACTGATGCTTGATCTCAATAAGGCCAAATCTATGGGCCAGCGACTGTCTTTAATCTCTAAATTCCGATTGAATTTCCTAGCACCTGAGGTAAGGCTTGTGTTTGCAGGGCATCCCACTGCAGAGATTTAGAATTAGGTATGGCAATGTGGACTCTGCTATGCTGTAGTAGGTGTAGATTCTGTAGTTACAGGAAAGGGTTATTTGGTAAAGTTGAAAAAAAAACATAGTGGGTAGAAAACTTTAATTTGTGAGCCCTCTTTAGAGATCCTCTGCTGACAAAGAACTTCCCTTGTCTTGGTCTTGATTGATTAATGGTAAACAAATAGATTTTAACTTTTCCAAATAACACAGAACAATCCTAGGTGTTGGAAGAACACCTGTTAACAGTGTACCTGCTTCTCGGATATCTCCTTTCCCAGCTTCCTGCGGTTGCTGAGTTCTCCACCAGTGAGACCATGGGCCACTCTGCAGACCGACTGGCTGCCGCCTTTGCTGTTTCTCGGCTGGAACAGGATGAATACGCACTGCGCTCTCACAGTCTGGCCAAGAAGGCACAGGATGAGGGACTCCTTTCTGATGTCGTACCCTTCAGAGTACCAGGTAAAATGAAATGCTTCATGACACTAATTAGGGAGTTCTGAATTGCTCCTAAAACTCAAAAAAATCCCAAGTGATTTTTCAATAAGTATGTTGGTTCTGTTTCCAAAGTATTCAGTCTTTATTCTTAAGTATGGATGCAAATTTTGATTTATGTTGTAACAATAGGTAAACATTTTTTTAAAGTTTCTATAAGAGTGTCCTTTTAAGGTCTGAGCACTAATCTCAGCACTTTGGGAGGCTGAGGCAGGAGGATCACTTGAGGCCAGGAGTTAAGACCAACCTGGTCAACAGAGTGAGACTTCATCTCTAATTAAGAAAAAAAAAAGAAAAACAAACAGAGTCTCCTTTTAGATCTTGCTGATATATTTTAGTTCTTACCTACATGCCTGTTTTTAAAATTCCTGAATCGTCTGACTTCTGTATAGAATAACCAACTGTGAATGAATGTCTTAAGAAATAGGATGTCCTATTTTTAGTAAAGCATTTAGATGATTTCCCAATTGTCTTTTAAGACTTTAGTTTAAAATGTGATAATATGATAATTATAAAACACTTTCCTTCTAGTGAATAGGTAAGGTTTACATTTCATTTGTTTTTGTAATTTTTAAAGCATATTTCTCTGGAGAAGATATATAAGGCTTATAGTTCCAAAGAGGTAAAAAAAATTCATTTGTTTAATAGGAAAAGATACAGTTACCAAAGATAATGGCATTCGTCCTTCCTCACTGGAGCAGATGGCCAAACTAAAACCTGCATTCATCAAGCCCTACGGCACAGTGACAGCTGCAAATTCTTCTTTCTTGGTAACTGTCAATGCTATTTGTATTTAGTAGTGACTTTTCTATTTCTGTACTCTCTGTAGAAAAGCCTAATATAAATTTTTTTGTGTGTGTTATGAATAGAGGGTAAAAATATAGTTATTCATTTTAATGTGAAAGTGGAGTCATAAAAAAAAAAAATGGAATCATGGTTTTAAGGCCCGAGAAGTCACCTAATCCAGCCACCATTCTGCTACAAAAGCTCTTTTCTTCAGACACTTAACCAGTCAGAAAACTTCTATTGCTTATGGTGGGCCCTGGAAATGAAAAGAATAGACAATTACAATATAGTGAGATGCTGTGATGGCTGTAAGCATAGGCTTAGGCTTAGGTCTAACCCCTGACACAGATCGGGGGATAGTCGGAGAGTCTTCTTGAAAGAGGTAACACTTGAGCAGCAAATCTTGAAGGAAAAGTGAGAGCTAACTCAGAAAGGATTTTAAAAGGCATTCCAGGCCAGGCGCAGTGGCTCACGCCTGTAATCCCAGCACTTTGGGGAGGGGCCTGGAGGCAGGCAGATCACCCTGGGAGGGCTGCCAAGGAGTTCGAGACCAGCCTGGCCAACATGGAGAAACCCCATCTCTACTAAAACTACAAAATTAGCCAGGTGTGGTGGCACATGGCCTGTAATCCTAGCTACTCGGGAGGCTGAGGCAAGAGAATTGCTTGAACCCGGGAGGCGCGGAGGTTGCAGTGAGCTGAGATTGCACCATTGCACTCCAGCCTGGGCAACAAGAGTGAAACTCATCTCAAAAAAAAAAAAAAAAAAAAGGCATTCTGTACAAAGGGAACAGCAAATGCAAAATCAAGGAAGTATGAGAGCAAGGAGTTCTTTGGGGGAAAAGTTAGGTTGGAGCATAAGGTATGAACTGGGAAGTCGTAGAAGACAAGGAAAAGCAGGCAGAAAGAGTAACAGGATACCTCTTCCAGCTCTGATTGTTAGAAAACTGCTTTACTAGGCCCGGGTGCGGTGGCTCATGCCTGTAATCCCAGCACTTTGGGAGGCCAAGACGGACGGATCACGAGGTCAGGAGATGGAGACCATCCCGGCTAACACTGTGAAACCCCGTCTCTACTAAAAATACAAAAAAATTAGCCGGGCGTGGTGGCGGGTGCCTGTAGTCCCAGCTACTCGGGAGGCTGAGGCAGGAGAATGGCGTGAACCCGGGAGGCAGAGCTTGCAGTGGGCTGAGATCAAGCCACTGCACTCCAGCCTGGGCAACAGAGCAAGACTCCGTCTCAAAAAAGAAAAATAAAAATAAACTGCTTTACACTGACACCAATATTATTTTCTTATAAGCATCATGGAACAAATCTGCCACTGTTTGTTGTGTGTGTGTGTGTGTTTTTAACTTATCAACATGTAGCTTCATATCCTTCCTTGCTTTTCTGACTCCTCAGTTAAACATCTTTATTGATTCTGCTGCTGCTTGTAAGATGTGATTTCTCTTCTCTTACCACCTTGGATATAGTCTTCTGGATATAGGCCATCTGGTCAGTTTCTTTTACAATGTAACTCTCCTACCTGGCCATAAAGTCTTGAAAACATAGGCAGATGTTTGACATATTTGCCCATGGTAAATGACTAATTAATGCCTGCTCTTGATAGGCTGGGGGAGTGGACTCTAGAGTAGTTCCAACAGTGTGGAACACCACCCTGTTAATCCCAGGTGGTGAAGAGCTGGTTAGGTTGGTCATTTGCAAAACCAAATTGGATGATAGAGCCGTGTGGCATGGAGTACACATGTCAGATCTGCATCCTTTTGATTACTTCCAGGGTATGCTAAAGGTCCAGGTTTATTTAGTG